ACCGAGGTCTGGGAGAGCTCCAGAGGCAGGAGGAGAACACGGTACCGAGGTCTGGGAGAGCTCCAGAGGCAGGAGGAGAACACGGTACCTGGTGAACGCGGGAGCGGAGCCGGTGGCTCTCGATCAGCTGGGGCAGCTCGTGGGCGACCTCCATCCAGGGGCTGTAGGGCTCTGGCAGCGCTGTCTTGGTGGAGAGAGGCAGAGGGGGGGCTGTGAATGTGCCCAGGCTCCCAGCACCCACCCAGCCTCGCACATCAGGGCTGATGGCTTGTGTCTGGTTCCCTCTCCTGTAACAGGAGCCTGCGGGGTCACAAATTAACGGGTGATGAACACGATCTGTCCGTGCCCCTGCACTCCCACTGTGGGGCCAGCCCAGTGATCAACGGCCCTGCATTGGACACGGGAGACCCACAGAGTGACTGCTCTTCTCGTGCTCCCCAAAATCCCACAGAGCCAAGGCCAGTGTGTAAATGGCAAAGCTCATTCTCCTCTCCGCCTGCCACTTGCTGCAGCCACTTCATCACTTGAAAGTGAGGGGTTTGTCCTACAAAACTACCTGTGCCAAAACAGCCCCTGCCTTCCTCACTGCTCTTTGTAAGCTGAATCAACCCCCCCCTCCAGAAAGCTGCTCACAACCCCTCTATTTTCCTCTCTGCCCCCTGTACAGGCAGATGGGGGGCACAGCCAGCTCCTACCAGAGGGTCGGGAAGCAGGAAGCCAAACTCCTCGGAGACCTGAAAGCTGCTCAGTGCCAGGGGCAGGGGGGGCTCCTCGGTGCCATCGTCAGCCTCCATCGCCGGGCGCTGGCCGTGGGATCAGAGTGTGCTGTGGGCTCGGGGTGTGTTGTGGGATCAGGATGTGCTGTGGGATCAGAGTGTGCTGTGGCCTGGCTGCCCCTGGCAGGATGTGCTGAGCCAGGAATGTACCTTGTCCTGGGGGGAGCCAGGCCTGGCCGCCCAATGGCCGGAGGGTCTGAGCAAACACGGGTAAAGGTTGCAGATAAGGCTTTGTCATGGAGCAAACACTGATCTCTGTTCCCATGGAGAGGGCTTGGGGGACCTCCCTCGCCCCATTGGCTTCCCCCCCGGACCACCCCGAGGGGCTGCCAGGCTCCCATGGGATGCTGCATTGAGGGGGCCTGGGGTGGCAGCTCAGGGACACTGTTTCTGCGGGGGGGGTTCTCCAGGATCCTGGCAATGCCAGACTAGTGTGCCATGGGCTGCTGGCCCAATGGTGACACGCAGGAGCCAACCTCCTGCTGCCTTCTGGCTGGAGACGATGAAATGGGGCTGAAAGGGACCTAAGGAGGCTGGGACCCCACATCCACCCTGCACTCTTCCTGTTCCTCTGACAAAAGGCAAAAACTGTGTAAGCATAAAACCACGGGACTCCGGCCACAGCACTGGCTTTGCCCAACACCTTTAATTAGTGCCCGTGGTGCTGCTTCAGCTCCAGGGCTGGGCCCACGTCTGCCTTCAGCTCTGGGTCCAGCTCTCGGTCTGTCTGCAGCTCTGGGTCCAGCTGTGCATCCGGCTCCAGGTTCAGCTCCGGGTCTGGCTCCAGCTCCCTGTCCATGTCCTGGCTGGCCCTGTGGGGAGACCTGGAGCGGTGCCTCAGCCCTGACGTGACTCAGGGAGGCCTCAGTCTCCCAGGGCCACCTCAGTCCAGAGGTGACCTCAGCCCTGGGGAATATGCTCATGCCTCACCTGGGAATCACCCTGTACATCCCTGGGGAATCACCTCATCTTCTCCCCTGCCCTCCCTGAGGATCCAGCCCCAGGCAGGGCCCCACTCACCCCTCTGTGCCCCGCGGTTGCTGCCCATGGCACCAGCCCAGCAGCTCCTGCTGCCACAGGATGAGGCCGAGGACGACGACCGAGGCGAGGATGAGCAGGGCGAGGCTGGAGCCCAGCACCAGCCAGGCCAGCTCCCCGTGCTCCAGGGCTCGCTGCAGGGGCAGGCCTGGCAGGAGACAGCCCAGCTGACACGGGGCACTGCCACCCCCGTGCCATCCCCCCTGGGCTGCCTGTACCCACCTCCCTCCACCAGCTGGAAGCCGCTGTCCACGCTGCCCCCAGAGCCCCTGATCTGGCAGCTGGGGGGCTTCCAGCCCCGGTAGCAGTGACAATTGCCCTTGTTGTTGCACACCTGGAACAGCCAGAGGTGTGCAATGAACCCACAGAACCTGCCCCCCTGCAGCCCCCCTGCAGCCCCCCTGCAGCCCCCCAGCCCCGGGGCACTCACGCCGTGGCCGTGGCACATCACCTGGCTGTCACACCTGGAGCCCAGCACCGAGCGGGGGTGACACGTGTTGTTGATGCACACCTGGGAAAAAAAACCCACAGCCCAGCACTGCCTCACCCACACAGCGCTCAGCAGGCCCAAAGGGGGAAGGAAAACACACTATTTCTAAAAAAATAAACCAACAAAAAAAGCTACAGTTCTGCCCTGGGTCTGGGTCATGCCTTGTGCTCACACACTGCCAAACCTTCATGCAACATTTGCACGGTTTTATAGTGGTTTTAAATACCCAGCACACTGCTGCAAGGAGCAGGCGTTTCTAAAACCTCCTTAATATTTACAGTTTACATCTGTCATTTCAGATGATTACAAAGCGCTTCCTCACCCTTTCAGAGCCACATTTTGTCCCTGGTGGAACCAGGAGTGGATCCAGCAGTGCTGATGCATTCAGGTAACTCATGGAGACACACAAATGCTTCCTCACTCGGGCGTAAATCACGGCGGCAGCAGCCGAGGGGAAGGGGTTGCTGGACGGGTACGTGCACACCAACTTCCCACACCTGAGGTTCCTGGAAAGCCAATAATTTGCACAGGATGTGTGTGACACACACACACACACACACACACACACATATGTGCTGCCTGATGAACACGGGAACATTAAACAGCACAGTCTGGACAAGGTGGGAAAACATCAGCAGGACTGGGAAGTCCAAGAGAGGATCTGTGACATAAGGAGAGAAGCCAAAACAAGGAGAACACACAGAGAACTATTCATTGCTTCACAAATCTCATTATGAACTGGAGTTTTGACACTCCCCTTGACTGCCCAGTCCCAATCAAACATGCATTTTGACAGAGCCAGTGCCCCCTCCCCACGTACCTCCAAGAACAGCCTTGGTACCCACGGCCTGTCTTGAACCCACAGTGCCCAAACCTGTCCCGCTGGCTGTTGATCTCCTCATAACAGGCCACAGGAGCACTCTTTGAATCTACAAGTTTAGCAATAATATCTGTTATAGTTCAAAGGGACACAAAGGGATGTACTATAATAATTTCATTTTTCCTCCTTAATTAGAGAAAACATGCCTGACCCTACCCTGGCAAACGCCCTGAACCCCAGAAATCAGCAAGGGAGTAGCAAATGGGGCAGTCCTCTGGTAGAGTTCACCCACAGATTTGCTTTTTGTCATTTCCATTGTTATCTCTGAAGCACTGGGGGACTTCATTAACCAGAGCCAAACCCAAGCTTGAAACGCTTCCCTAAGGCCCTTCCCTCCTGGTGCCCTGCCGGGTGCACTGGAGAGCACTGAGCATCATTATCCCGCCCCCAGGCAGTGCCAGTGCCACCAGTGCCACCAGGAGAGCCCGTTACCTTTCCCGTAGAGCCGCTGGCACTGCAGGTCCAGGGACTGGCAGCGCCCCTGGTAGCAGTAGCCAGTGCCGCGCTCGCAGCTCTGCCCGTCCTGCACGTACACGTCGGGCGGGCAGGACCCCGAGGAGCCGCTGCAGAACTCGGGCAGGTCACACTGGGAGTCAGAGATGGGGCGGCACAGAGAGTTCTTCTTCCTGAACTGGAGGGCAGGGAGAGCTCTCCACCCTCAGCTGCCAGGCTGAGCCCACACAGCCCCTCCTGCTGCCGGGTCGGGATCCCCACCCAGGCACTGGGGTCACACCATGCGTGTGACACTGCCCAGGATGATCCCCCAGGGATATTCCCTCCTGAGGGTTCCCAGGAAACCCAACCACGGGAGCCTGTCCCGTTGCACAGCAGGAAGTTTGGCTCCATCCCTCAGCGTGGGGACATGTTATTTCTCCAAAGATAAATAATGATTTTGTGATAATTATAAAAGTGTGCCTCACCTGGCAATTTTTACAACATGGTCCAGAGGCACATTTCGCTTTTGGCATAAGCTGACATCTCCAGGTGCAGCAGTTGTCGTGCAGGCATTGCTGGGGAAACGTGGCAAACCCACATTATCCTACTTTTCTGTACCCTCAGGTCCCACTCTTCCTCCTTCCCCCCAGAAAGCTCCACTTGGGCAACATCGAGCAGAACAAACGGGCAAAGCTGCCACCACCAGACTGGTGCCATCCCAAACCCAACACAACCCTTCTGGGCTGCCCCCCCCGCTGCAGTGGGGCCCTCAGTCTCCAGGGTTCGTTATTCCACGTGTACCCTCATCCCAAACGCAGGGATTTGGCCCCAGCACCCACCTGGGGTGCCCCGCAGTCGCACTGCTCGCCCGGCTCCACCACACCATTGCCACAGACGGCCCCGCTCCGGGGGGACAGGGGCCTCAGGCGGGGTCTGCTGAAGAGGCACACGCCTCTGCCCTGCTTCAGGAAGGTCTCAAAGTCCCGAACGCTGCAGTTGCTAAAGGCTTTTGCCCCACTGAAATGCCTAAAATAAAGCAATTTTCAGTTTACGTGTTACGCATTCACCACCCCTCGCTCTCTCCAAACCTCTGTGCAAGTCAAGGGCTTGCCCAAACACTGGCACAGGGCACGATGGCCCCGAGGGTCTGTCAGGTCACCTGCTCTAAAGCTCATTAACGGAGACTGAGAAACATAAGTACCCTCGTTTTGGAGAGCAAAGGCCTCTTTTGTCAAATTAAGCACTGAATTGTTATTTAATTATTCCTTTTTTTCCTTCTCAAAGGAATAAAAGCGGGTATTTGGTCGCTGAAAGGGTGTTCAGGCATGGGAAGGGGCTGCCCGGGGAGGCGGTGGAGCCACCACCCCGGGAGGTGTCCAAGGAATGACCGGACCTGGCACAAAGTGCTCTGGTCTAGTGACAAGGTGGGGATTGGTCACAGGACGGACTCCATGCGATTCTGCGACTCCACGATTCTAATTTGTCGTGATTTTTGCAATGTTATGACATTTGTTGGGGACACCCCTGAGGAGGGGACACCCCTGAGGAGGGGACACCCCTGAGGAGGGGACACCCCGTACCCCCCCAGCCCACTCACAGCGCCGCGGGGCTCATGGTGCAGACGCGCCCGGAGCAGCCGCAGGCTCGGGGACTGTCAGAGCTCATGCCCAGGCTGCGACCCAGCACCTGAGCCAGCAGCACAGAGAAGGACTCCAGCGTCGCCTTCCCGTGGCACTGGAGGGAGGAGAGAGCCAGGATGCAAAGCTGAGCATTCCCTGTGGAGACCCTTGCCGTGGACGTGGATACTCCCACCCGCTCCCAACCATCCCTGTCCCTGCTGCCCGTGGGTTCTCGGCCACATGGGCTGGCTGGGGACGGGCAGGGGGCAGGTGGGACTGTACCAGGGGGCAGGTGGGACTGTACCAGGGCCACTGCAGCAGCAGCATCTCTCTGACAAGCCTTTCCCAGAGCCGCTGTGCCCGCGGGAGCTCCTTGGTCCCTGTACCTGGAACAGAGGGGAGTGCACTGGTCACCCAGCCCAGGACACCCCGTGGCTGTGGGTCAGTGGGTCTGTCCAGCCACAGTCCCCTCCAGTGGCTCTGCTGTCCCCAGGGGAGCTCTGTGTGGTGGGGGGCTGGTGTCCACTGCCAGAGCCTGTGGAGCCTCTCCTCAGCCAGGGCAGGTGGGATGGGATGGGATGGGATGGGATAAGATGGGATGGGATGGCACCACCATGGCTGCTGCACTGCCACTGAAGGGCTGGTTAGAAGGAATGCCTTGGAAGAAACGCTTCCAGAATATTAAGAAAATAGGAATTGTGTAAGAAATACGGCTTTTTAAAAAAGCATTTGTTGTGGGAATCTTCACAGTTGGTTTGACTGATCTCTGCTAGGTAACCTTTAATGCTAAGGAACCCTTATCTCACCCCAAGAGAAGAGCGATATCATGAGCCTGCAGTGCCAGAGTCAGCTGTTTCCACCGTAAGAATCGCTGCAGAAGGTCATCTGTGTCCCCTGCTGTCGGGATTTTATCTCCCTCTGCCCACAGCTCCAGGGAGGACAGCACAATGGTGACGTTAAGGGGATTAAACATCTGAAAGCAGAAAGAAAACACCTGCTCACACACCTTCCCTTTGTGCTGTCAGTCCCTCAATGACATCTGTAGCCAAAAAGAATGAACAGACCTAAAAAAAGGAGAGATATAGCAAGAGGCCTGAGCCAAAGCCCAATAACTTCATAGGAAGGCCTTAGTGATTTTGGGACTAATTTCTCCTTGCACACATGAACCATAACGGCACCAGTGGAGTGAAGAACAGGACTGGAAGTTGCTCATAAGCACCTGAGAGGAAGCAGGTTAATGTGATCAGTGAGAACAGGGATCTGCTGCATGGAGAGGGGAGCAATGCTGGGGTTTGGCTGCCCTAAGGTGTTCTGTCCATCTGCACAAGACAGGGCCACTGCATGGGGAAGGATGTTCTTTTGCAGCAGACTGACACCCAGAGGAAAAACCTTCTTGGGGAAGCTGGAATTTTTTACATAACCTCCTCCTAAACCCAAAAGCAGCTAGGAGAGAGGTGACCACTACCAATATCACCCCTGCTTTCCCCCCCCATCCTGCTGCAGTACAAATTAGACTTTAAAACTCACATTGTTGACTAAATTGAAAGCCTGGATTATCTTCTGTGTGACAGCATTCGGGTCTGACCCCATATAGTTGTACTGAAAAACAACCCAAGAGGATGTAAGTACAGAACAGTGTCAGAACACTGAAATGATTCCCAGCACCCAGCACCCAGCCATGGAGATGGGAGCTACAGATTTGCACTCCTCTTTTCCTTCAAAATCCACAGGACACCTAATTTTTCGAAAGGGAAAACAAATCCCTGCACAAGCTGGGAAATGGCACCATTGCCCTGCTCCCAGGAGTCAGGCAGAGGCAGGGGGAGTGTCTGGCACAGACTCACCAAAGCCCTGTCCAGAACCACGTGCACTGCGAGGTATTTGGGAGATCGTGCTGCGGCCGAGGGGAGCTGGAAGAGAAAATGGGCTCCACAGTGGACAGACCCCTGTGCTCTCTGGCCCCTCACCACTGCCCTTTGCTGTGCTGCTCGAGCCTCCCTTCAAAGCTTGTGGCCAAGTGTCCGGCCAAAGCTTCCTGTGGGATCCTCCTCAGGGACAGGACAGCAGCAGCACTGCAGGGGCAGCCACCGCTCACCTCGTCACCCCCATGGGCCTTGGTTGAGGTCTCCTCTGCCACCAGCCCACCCAGCCCTGTCCCGGGGGGGCTGTGGGCCAGGGAGGGACCTGCTGTGTCCTCCTCGCTCACTCGATACACGAGGTGCTCAAAAGCAGGGGAATCGTCCAGGGGCTCGATCCCGTAGCTGACGTTCTCAAACTGCAGCAAACCCCTGCCAAGGCAGTGGCACTGGCCATTTACACCTGGCACTGGCCATTTACTCCTGGCACTGCCTCCAGGCCATCCCCGGGCTCCCCATAGCAAAGCCTGGCAGCACCCAGGGGCAGGGCAGCACAGGAACATTGGGTACATTACCTGAGCCCCGAGCAGGTGCTGAGGGTCACTGCTGAGCTGGGGAAGCCATCGATGTACCCCCAGTAGTGGCAGCCTCCCTACAGCGGGACAGAGGACAGGGAGCCCCTCCTGTGGCTGGGAAGGTGATTCTCACCCAGACAGCTGGACTGGCTGCACTGGGCAGAGATCTGTGCTGAGACACCCAGGGTACAAACACCCCAAAGCAAGGCAGGTTACCTCCATGTGGGCTGAGTCAGGGGGCAAAGAGCCCTCCTCGTCCGACACGTGAATCTGGAAATCGTCAGATAAAAAGGCACTACAAGAGAAAGGTGCAAAGTGAACACTTACAACAACATCCATCACCCTGAGCTTCTCGAGCTCCTCGCGGGTCCTGCAGCCACCGGGGAACGGGGCAGGGACTGTCAGCAGGGGCAGCATCGGGGCAAACTCACTGCTGCTGCAGGTGGATGGTGTAGGGCCTCCCCTCGATCCTCAGGACGTAGGACACCGTGTCCTTGTGCGTGCAGAAAAGTAGAGAACGGGAGAATTAGGGGCAGGGAGTTGGACCAGCACCACCCGAGCCCCCCTGCGAACGCCAGGGGTGAGCACAGAGCACCGTGCTGGCAGCTCTGCTGTGGTGACACCATTACAGCTGCCAGCACATCTGCACCCCCCCCAGCTCTCCCCTGCAGCTGAAGACCTCATTGCCCCCCTACCTTCCCTCCATCTCCCCCTCTCCCCCTCCCCAGCCCCGTACCTGCTGCAGCCGCGTCGCTCTGCTCACGTTTGCCGGCAGCCGCTGCGGGATCGTGACCTGGGATGGAACCTGCCACCCCAGAGGGGACAGAGACCCCCAGGGCTGAGCCCAGAGCCGGGGGATGGAGGGCGCAGGGGGCCCCTGCCCGGCCTCGTGCAGCAGCTCCAGGAGCAGCAGGAGCAGCAGTGGTGGCATCGCACAAAGTGGCCCCATCGTGGGCCAGTAACAGCCCCACTGGTAACAGCCCCACTGGTAACAGCCCCACTGGTAACAGCCCCACAGCAACTGCCCACCCCTAACGGCCCCTCCCTCCCCTAAAGCAGAGGCTGAGGCAGAGCCTTGTACAAAACTGGCATCTTTATTGCTCGTTGGGTCCGTACAAAGGGGTTGGGAACAGCCCTTGGGCCGGAGCTGTGGAGGTGAACACGGGTGTCGGCCACAGCCCCCCCAGCTCCAGCCCCACCCGGGGACAGGTGTCCACACACTTTACAAAAGAAAGTCAGTAGTCATCTTCAGTATTCCACACAAAAAACTGGAGCCAGTTCCTGCCCACGGGATGGCTTCTAAACCCACACATCCCTGCCCTCCCCAGCTGTGGCCATTCCAAGGTGAATGCCGGGAGTACAAAACCCCTTTGTCTGGTAAAGGCACCATTTTCAGCATAGTTGAGTTCAGACACACAGCGTCACACACAGCGAAGTGCATCCCTCTGGATGACTTCATTCCCTGGATCCCCTCCTCCGTCCCACCCTCTGACTGGGGCTGGAGATGGGCCACGTCCAGCTGCAGAGCTGTGACAGACAGACAGACAGACAGCCAAGGGGGAGCAGGACACAGCAACATTAGGAAGAGACTGATTATCTTGGAACAAACAGGAGACCCCCACCAGTACAGTTGGTGAAATTCTAGGTGGCATCTTACAGATTTTAATAGTGTTATAAATCTTAGACTAAGTTTATGGGAAACCACAGGAGTTCAAGTATTTTATTACTGCACACACTATATATATATATATTTTTATATATGTATATACAGAGGAAAACATGATTTTTTTTGGCAATATTAGGGGGATTTTACAGATTGAGCTGTGCTTGTGGCGAGCACAGAGTGAGCCAGCCCAGCATTCTCTTCAGCACTTTTAGCAAGTTGTGCAATAGATTCCTATTTGTGACCACGACATCCAGCTTCTACCCACGGCTCCAGAGGATCAGGATGCACAGCTCCTTCTCCTCTCCTGGCACACTGGATACTGAGCAACTCTGCTCAGGAGGAGTTCCAAACTTGCAGTCTGGTCTGACACAAGGTGGCCTGAAAGCCTCCTGACTGACACTACAAAGGTTTGGGGATTAAAAGAGGGGGTGCATCAGCCACCAGGTTCCCGTTTGAAGTGCACAGAGGAGCTCTGGTGGTCCAGGCAGAGACTCTTCCTGCTTCCTAGTGTCCTGCAGGAACTGCTGCTCTGCCTTTAGACCTGAATTAAAACCTATCAGCACCCCATTTTTTAAAACCAGAACATGGCCGTGTCTTCTCGTACCTTTATCTTCACTGCCCATCCATGTATTAGTGGGAATTAGTACAGGAGTCTCATTTAGCCAATCTCTAATTAAAAAGCATTAAACTCAGTGCTCCTATAGCACAGCTTACTGTCAGTCAGCACGGAATTAAGAATTTAAGTGCATCATTACGCATCTATAAACATATATACATGCACAGACGTGTTTAAAATATATCTCTCTTCCTCTGAAAAAGTCCACTGAGACCTCATTCCACTTGTGCCATCAAGGTGTACACAGGAAACACCCTCCAGTCCACGCAGAGTAACTGTAAATTAACTGAGCAGATCTCCTTGCTTTGCAGGTGGGTTACTCTGATTCCTCACTGCACAGTCAGAGAGATGACAATGAACCAGACAATTTCCTTACCAGGGCTCAGGGCAGAAATGGGGAACCCAAAGCGACGCCCCCGGGCCGGATTTCAGGACTATTTCCCTCCAGGTTCCCGCTGCCAGCCCGGCTGCAGAGCGAGGAACAGGCCCGGGGCCTCATCCCTGGAGCTTTGGTCGAGGTATTTGTGAGTGTAGAGTCCTACATTCCTGGTTTGGATCTCTGGCCCTGCCCCGGCAGCGATGCCAGAGGAGGGAACCGTGATTCCAACGGGTCAGCTCAGGGGGGGCCCCAGGGGAGCCAGGAGCTATTTGGGAGGCAGAGGTGCCGGTCGGGAGGGGAAATACTGTCCCTGAGGTAAACATTTCTGCTGGGGAGGCCCCTGAGGTACGACCTTCTGCTGCGGGGGTGGCGGCCTGCAAGAGCACAGAGGAGCTGCCATCAGTCAGGGGGGCTGCACCCACCACCCACAGCACCCACCCACCCAGCAGGAGAGCCCCTGGCCACCAAGCCATGGCCACTGCCCAGACCCCCCGGCCACCACACCACTGCTCCCAGCCCCGGCCTCCCTTGGAACACACCATGGGGTCGGGCTCTGCCTTCCACTGCCTGACACCCCCAGGGACCCCCACTTTGTTAAAATTTACCTTTTCTCCCCAAATAATTTAAAGACCCCCCCCTGAAGTGCCCCACCAACACAAGCTACATTAAGGAGCTCCCACTCAGCACCCAGCACTTCCCAGGCCCGTGTGTGTCATGGCACAGCATTAGAGCTCATGAGCACAGTGAGGAAGGAGGATGAAAAACAGAGGAAAACTTCCTGTTCAAAGCGATGAGGAATGATCCTGCACTCGGCCACAATGTTCACAAATCAGCAAAATGACAGATTTTGGAGTAAATGACAGATTTTGGAGTAATTTCTTTTTAAACTGCCTGTTTTGAGAGGCCTTTCATCCACCTTTCATCCAGCAGGGCAAACGTGCCCCCCCAAGCAGGGTTGAGCCCCGCTCATCACCATGGAGGGTGATGGTCCAGCAGCTCAGGGTGAAGCGAAGGAGGAACTTCTCCCGGGGAGAAATCAGCCCTGCCTGCACACAGCACGTGCTGGAACAGCCCAGGGCTCCCGGGGATGGAGGCCAGGGGGATAAATCCCTTCAGTGCCAGCAGGAACCTGCAGTAACTCCACTGACCTGCTGGGCAGCCTCGGCTGCACCGGGTACTGAGCAGGGGGGTAGTAGGGCTGGTGGAAAGCCTGCTGAGGGTGCTGGTTGACTGGGTAAGCTGGGACAGGAAAGGTGTTTGGATCCATATCCTGCTAAGAAAACACAACAGGAACGTTCACAAATTGCACGCAGGGAGTCGAAATATTTGTGTCATTGGTTAAGTGACACTCAGGAGCACTGGTTAGGAAATAAGTGTTCCCTCTGCTTCTCAGCAAAGAGAAAGCACCATTTCCAGAAATGGAGAAGTAACTTCGAAGCTTTTATTAGGGCAAAAATTATATAAAATATCGTCATCTGTTAGTTGAGAGTAACAAAGTAATGGAAGGGAGATGATTCCTACCGTGGGAACAGCTCTTGGAGCGTAAGGGCTGCTGTGGGAGAAGCCTCTGTGCTGGTAGTCCCTGGGTTCAGTGTCTGGCCGAGGAGGAGGTGACTGAAGTGACCTGAAATCCGAAGGACAGGGACTGTGTGAGCACAGAACAGTGACTGTGCAGGCCATGAACCCAGACAGCTGCATTTATACTGTCCTGTTACACATCCAATGTCAGGAAGATAATATTTACCACAAATCCAGTAAGCAACAACCCTTCTTCTGTTTAGGACTCTGAGAGCTTCCCTTTGCCACTTTTTATACCAAGATGGGATCCAAAAATATAGACCCTCATCTCCAGTGCATGACAACAAACATAATGGTAAAGAGAACATTCTTTGCTCTCTTGATTTAGGATGAATTTGCCTTTTCTGTCATTGCCAGGGGCAGGCTACACGTGTCACTGGATGCAGGGGCCTTTGCCTGACACCCTGGGACTGGGATGTGCCTCCACACCTTGGCATTGGTTTGTATAAACAACATCCCCCGGGTGTTCAAAGGGCAGAGGAGAAGGGAGAAGGGAGGAGGCACTCACGAGTGGCAGCGGGACATCAACCTCCTGAAGCATCTCTTCAGCCTGTCCCTCCTCACAAAGGCCAGAGCAGCAGCCACGAGCAGTGGGAGCACCAGGAAGAAGAAGACCAGCAGCCCGTCCCTCAGGGACGTGTCCTTGTCTGAGGGCACAAAACCGGGGAGGAGAAATGAGTCTGACGTGGTGCCACCACCTCCACCCGACTCACAGCAGCACTGAATTGGTTCTACAACCGTTTTCCATTTTTTAACAGAAGGAAAACAAAAGAACCCAGCAAGACTGCAAAAGATAAATGCCCAAAGAGATTATTTTCTGTTTATCTTTTCACAGGGATTGTCTGGTCAGAGATGAAAGAGCCACACATGCCATGACACCCCAGGCTACGGCAGCATATTGAATTAGGAGATCAATCCTCATTTTTCATTACTGTGAAGATGTTATGAGAGAGGAAAACAGAGCTTCTGCTCTTTGTCTGATCCTAAATCTTCCTCTTCTCCAACCACTGTTTGCTGTAGGCAAAGAACTCGGGTTCTTAACAATCTCTACCTTTTTATACGCAGCAATTTCTCTCCTGCAGACTGTACTAAAACAGCCTTTCCCTTTTTTGTCTGATGATTTGAGGGATCTGCCCATGCTCCACCATGATTATCCACTCTCTTATTGTATCAGTGTCTAGCTTTCCCCTAACCCACATCATCTTATGAAAAACAGTGTTCAAGATCATTCTTGCTATTAAAACAATCCCATTTTATATACTCCACATGGACACAGCACAAGTTTTCTCCAAATGACAGAGATTGGCTTTGGCTTCTTATTTCATCTTCAAACCCTCTGTGAGCAAAGTAACCTTCCCTGCTCTGCCAGCTTGCTTTCTCACCTGCAAGAATCGTGGTCCCCTTCACTGGGACTTCCCTTCCCAGCCTGGACACAGAGAAGCCCAAGGTGGCAGAAATCACCTAAACTAAACCAGCCCAGATCCTTAGAGATTCCAGCCCAGCTCCTCACAGATTCCAGCCCAGCTCCTCACAGATTCCAGCCCAGCTCCTCACAGATTCCAGCCCAGCTCCTCACAGATTCCAGCCCAGCTTCCCAAGAGAGAGAAGAGCAACACCTTCAGCCCAAAACCTCCACTAGGATGGTTCACAAGTGAAACCCAGTGCAGAGCCACCCCCCAAACCTTCCCCCCGTGTGTGGGTGCCCAGCCCAGAGCCCTCCCAG